AAAAAAAAAAAAAAAAAAAAAAAAAAAAAAAAAAAAAAAAAAAAAAAAAAAAACCGGCTCGCGCTTGTTATTACCTACAGTGCGCACGCGTTGGTTTTCTTTTTTTTTTGCACCTCCGACTTTGGTCTCGGAAAAACGGCCTCAGCTTTATGCGCTCGGCGCAAACACCCGTCGTGCCGTTCGGATAAATAGTTTAAGCGCTTCCTGTTTAATTAATGCGTTACGAAACGCAGCCGATCTCCAAGAGTATCGTAAAATATACCACTCGTGTGTACACATGGCCGGCTTGTGGCGAAATTTTGCATTCTGTCCGTGAAAATGTATGAGCTTGAGCTATTCTCTCCCACCCCGAGTGTACATAGACACGGTATACGCGTTGAATGACAAATTAAAGATCACGAGCGTCCAATACGGAGGAGAAAATTTCTCGGTATGGATTTCACGCGCCGATCAATCGAGGGCTGTAGGAGCGTGTCTGCTGATGGGCAGTAATGAATTTCGATGCACAACAGTGCGTAACGTCCGCTCTATATCTATACATGGTATTTTTTATTATATCAATTGTTATAGATACAGTCACGCGCTTGGCACATGAGTGCTTGAGGTCCCCTAATTATACCTACAGGGGCTTGAGAGTAAGGCAGGGATTTCCATTTTAGCGGAGTGCTAATTAACTGCATCCTTTTTTCCCTTACTTTGCGCCGAGAGGGGAGGGTATGTGTGCCATTCGAACAATCACGCATACTTGGGTATAATATATAAAATAAGTGTAGATCTTGATAATCAAGTGATGGGGTCTTTGTTCTTTTGGTTTTACGATGCTTTAATATGTTTTTCTTTTTTTTTTTCATTTGAGTAAAAGTAAGAGCGCGTTGTTTCGTTCGGGGTATGGTAGATTCGTGAGAACGGGAGAGAATTTCTCGCAAATTTGATAAGGTTATACCAGAATGAAAGAAACTTCTCGAGACATTTTTACTTGATAGGTGATGCACTGCCTTTCTTTCGAATTTCCAGTGATTTTTTAATCATGACGCACGTGAATAGTATGGCTACGCGGTAAGCTCATTTTCTCTACAATATTATTCTCGGAAGACGTTTGTACGAGCTGATATTATGATTCATGGCTTTTATACTGAATCATTTGGGTTTTTAGATTACATGTACAGGTGTATTAGAGATCGGTAATCTGTTTTATTAATAATTCGATCGAGATGTACGTTGATAGGTATATTTTTACGAGGATTGTAAGAGTTTTTTTGTGCTACGATCGACACGAGATAAGTTTAATGGATTTTTACGTTTAACACATGGAAAAGAAAAAAAATAGTAATCATATAGTTTAATCCGATTTTTTTCTATTGGTCTTATAATCGTTTCAGATAAGCGCAAAACAGTGCAGATAAAGTACGTATATTGTATACTCGGACGGAGTAGGATTGAGTGACTTTTTTTTCTTTCGTCGCAATCCGTAAATATTGGAAAAAAAAAAAATTATCAATTCAAATGGTTACTACTTTGCAGTGTACCGTCCAACGCACGATTTTATCGAGGCACGTGCGGTACGAAGAAAGACGCTCATGATAATAGTATCGTTTAATTGTAGGAAAAAAACCATTTCATTTTATGTTTTGGTATTTCCTGAAAACCTCAATTGTCAAGGTATATACACTCGGACGTGACTCTAGTAGAAAAAGGCCATACTCATACACGATTTCACACAAGTCAGTTTTTTTTTTGCACATAAAACGCACGCGTGTCCAACGTTATTGGAAAAATATTTTCAACAATTTGTGATCAATTAAATCAATCGGACCTTGTTAGTAAATTATTGTGTGATGCGTTTCAAAGTGTCGCTGTTTACAACAAAAACAACAAAAAAAGGCTGCTGAAACTTTCAAGGCTCAACTTGCCCTTCATAAAAAAAAAAAAAAAAAAAAAAAAAAAAAAAAAAAAAAAAAAAAAAAAGACAGCAACAACAAATACTCGAATGCCGATAGATGTATGCTTTCCACGATAGGTACTTTCACTTTCTCCCGTCAAAGGGAACAATGAGCGCCGAATGATCCTCGGGAAGTGCGTACAGAACGTATAGATAGAGTCAGCTGAGCGTATACTAGCACATGTATGTATACATTGATGTACGTTTGATATAAAAATTACAGGTTTACAGTCACGTGTTGGAGTCGATGTACCGGTGACACATTGACTCGAGTGACGGCACGCACTTCCGTCCCCATAAATATACATATAACGTATACGCATTGCACACGATCGGAAGAAACGCGCGCGGCCCATCTCCTATTTTGCTATTGCAAATATGATCACATACATACACGGAGCTAATGATCCATTGCCCGCGAGTACCAGGAAAACAAAGTTTCTTTTTTCTCCCCTCTCTTTGTTGCGCAATCCATCGCACATGTATATACACATAGGCTTGTATCATCGACAGGTGATGGCTCGATTCGCCTTTGTTTTTGCCCGCGGATTTTTACGGCCGGCGTGGAAAAATATTTTCGCCAAAGAGTATTCAAATCTCTACGTATTATTTCCCTCTGCCTCTGAAAAAAAAAAAAAAGTTTTTTTCCCCTATAGGTACACAAACGTGCGTGGCGATTCGAGTGCGAACGTAACTATCCGCAGATGATCAATTTCAAAGTACTCGCTCTGATTAATCATCGTACGTTTGGGGGGGCCTCTAAAGGTGTCGGTAAAGATAAGTAATAAAAATTTACCGTGAATCACAAATTGATATCTCTAATCGTTGGTACACTTTTTCTCGATGAATGATTTATACACGATATCGTTTTTTTTTTTTTTTAATTTATTGTACGTGAATCAACGAAGATCATCGAAAGTATGATTTTATCGCCGGTCTATTAATATCCGTGCACGTTAATGTAATTTCGCGGAGGGGTACTTTTGCAAAAGCCGAACGACGATACTGAAACACATTGTACGAGTCAGGTGGAACGTGGTCATAAATTGTCTTTGCTGCCATCTATTAATAATTTTTTTGTTTTCCTTGCGACAACTTATTAACTTTCAATTGCATCATTGTAAACATTGCGTTATCTCATTGTATCGTGAGTAATACATAATGAACGTTTAGCTGAGTCGGTTAGAGCGCGGTAAAAGAAAAACAAGGTGAGCTTCTTCTTCCGCTCGATCGGAACATAATGGAGATATAATTGTTTACTTGGCGAGTTTTTGTCTTTCCAATAAACACCTTCTACGAATCCCCCCGCTTTGATTTATTTTTTTATTTTTTTCAATTGTCGCAGGTACCTTTAACCGGAATCTACTTAACGATAAAAAAAAAAAAAAAAACTCATGAGCAATCCCCTGCGTTTAACCCAAAAAGTTTTTCATGGCATTTTGAAGATTCACCCGAGGTAGATGTATTTACAGCTGTACAGATGTGTATTTTTGAACAATTTCTGATGTCTTCATCAGAACACTCTTATCAAACGATAAAAAAAAACTCCACCTCAGAAACGACGAAATGAAATGCAGTCTTTGACCTACCGGATAGCAACATCGATTTCGATTGAACGGAATTCTTGTTCCAATTGCTTCGGTGATAAACGTCACGCCTTGCCTAACGAGCCTCGCGTACCAACCACAACACGCGTAAAGAAAGAAAAAGAAAAAGTAATATAGCTTCAGCTATATATATATATACGTATATACCAACTCACCTTTGGCCCAGCCGGTGAGGACGTTGCCGAGGTAGGCCACTTTGTAAGTGGGGTCGTACTCGGTGATGGACGCGTTACCCCTGTGCCTGCGCCAGAGCTTGCCGAGGCCGCGTTTTAACGACCTGAGGGTACGGCTGCCCAACTCGCCGCTCATCACGCTCGAGGTGCTCGTCGTCGACGACGCCAGGCTCACCCTGTCCACCGAGTCCAGGCTAGCCCGGCGCACCATCATACCGATCTCCGCGTCGCCCATCTCCGTCGCGCCGTCCTCCGACTTCATCCTCTGTTTCTACCTGATCAGCCTTTTGCGCGTCTGTCCTCTCCCAATTTGCGGCAGGTGTCAAATCACGGGGAAGCACGCACTGACGGTTGGGGGTCAACACTTACCGATGAGCAAAAAAGTATGCGTTTAAAATCTGACACGTTTTGGTTGTCCGTCGCGAGCTACCGTCAAGCGGCGCAAAGTGTCGGCCGAGCGACAGTGCGATCGGTTGCTGATGATGCGGCTCTTGCCGGTATCGCGGCTCATCGCGAAATGCAAGCGCGCCGCCGGCGTGTTATTAATTGCTGATCCGGCGCCGCGGCCCCATCCCCCACCCGCTGTTGGGAGCGCGCGCGCTCTCCTAAATACGTGTGTATGTGGATGTGGTCGTTGCTGGCGCTACTGCGTCTGTGATGTACTTTGGGTGATTTTTTTCCCTTTTTTGGACTCTACGGATGATTTTTTTGTTTCTTTCGGGGGTTCTCGGATTTTTCTTCCCCGTCCCTTTGCTGTTGCTTTTCCCTTCGAGGTGCTAGGTGCTCTTCATCGTTCGAGTCTTGCTCTCGTGGTGGATCTGAAACATCAAGAAATATTCGGGATGTTGTTACTTCTTTGTCAAATCAGTAAAATACGAAATAAATCCACGTTGTGATATAGAGACAATAAATAACAATAGTAATAATAATGTACAATGAGAGTCGCAAAAACATATGATAGTTTACAAAATGCGTACAGTCAAAACTGATTTAATTAAATGATGAGCGTGTGTTGAATGAGTAAATAATTAATTGCGATTTTTGGGATGTGTGTTATAATATACCGAGACGGGGACTTCGAGAAGGCGAGATAAGCGAGACTATTGAAATGAATATTTTGAGTCAATTGCAGTCCGTACGAACGATGATCGGCCAAGATAACAGTAACAAGTGCGTTTGCGGTCGGAGGTGAAATTTTAGGTAAACATGGCACGTGGAATCTTGAAATATGATGGGTAAATTGAAATTTTTTGTGATTCACGAAGCAAATTGTTTTTTTTTTTTTTTTTTGCATTTTCATTATTTTTTGTAAAAAATTCCCCCAGAGTCGAAACGATAATCGTAAAGAAAAAAAAAAAAAAATCTCCGAAACAGCGACCTCAAGATAATGCAAACAGCTCCATAAATCAGTGGACCCATCCGGCTTTGAAATAAATTTTTCCAGAGTAACTCGCTTACGTACTGCATTCAATAAACCACAAGAGTAACACACCTGATTCATCATGTACATACGTATAATGATACAAAATAGACGTATACTGTTGAAAACACGGAAAAATTGTTGTGAGTGCACGCGAGTACAGAATAAACCCCGAGTCGTCATATTTTCCATGGCGCCCCACTGTAAATCCCATACCGATCGGATTCCTAATCGGAATCGGAAGCGCGCGGTCGTCATGTATATGTATACCCAATATTGCGCAAAATTTTACATCCACGCGCACGTACACACACGAACCATGTATATCTATATACATTATGCGCAAGGCGAGCGCGAATGCAAATCGTCACCGAGAGATGCCCATTCCGATGGTAATTGCTAAATTGTGCAACGGCTCACAGCTGTACACGAAACCGGCCCATATATATATATGTACATGTATGTACCCCTTATACGTTGTTACGCTGCGCGTATGACGGGCACACTTACTCCCATAAGTAGCTTACACGAGACGCCGGAGGCGCTTCCGAGTTAAGCGACCGGTTGAGCGGACTCGACTTTTTTCCTTTTTTTTTTTTTTCTTCCATCTCTTTCGGTACGGTATGGATATATACACCCGTAGGTTTCTAACGCTGGTATACGTGTTTATACGAGCGTGCACGTATATACGCGGCTTATTGCGTCAATAAATTGCTTAAATTATTTAATGCGCTAAATTGGCGCGACGCGCGGCCGGGGACGTGTATGCTAATGAGACGTAATTAATGCGTAATTCTCCGAGTAATGTACGATTTGACAATTGCATGTGTGTACATCGGGAAGAAAACGCTTTGTTTCGACCGCGTCCAAAAGTGTGCGGGGGTGGAAAACAGTGCAAACGAAGGAAGCGATCGCCAATCGCCGGTGTGGTGCGTTTTAGTGGTAAATATTGCAGCATATTATTTACAAAAAATTCCTTGTTTTGATTTTCACTTTTGCGGGTCTAGCAACAAAAGTCGGCCGCTGATACACCCATCGGGAGCACGTTACAAAAAACAACGAGCTTTCATATTCGGCAGGATCGTCGTGCGTGTAAAATAAAAAAAAAGGCACCAGGAGACCAGTTGACCTTCGACGCACCTCGACTGGCTGGTTTTTTTATTTTTTTTTTTATTTTACACGCGCGTATATATTTGTTCGATCGACTCTTCTCGTTTTGTTTGTCACTGCGTGTTGTTATATAGCGTTTCATTGCGAGCGCGATAAAATCGCAGAGACCCAATGAATTTTGGACGATTCTCCTCTCGAAACTCGAACGGAGGGGATACTGTTGTTGCTACGTGACAGGCAGGTTTTTTCAAACATGATTTTCGATAATGGGTTGGTTGTATATGAGTGGCAGGGATTTTTTTTTTCAAACAACCGAAGGAAGAACCAAAAAGTGGTAAACCCGATTCGGGAAGAAAGAATATAGCTTTGTGTATCCGCCACACCCGGGGAGGATGAGGTTTTTTTTTTTTCCTACTGTATCCGTGTTCCTGAAAATACTGATCAAAAGGAAATTTCTACTGTTTGTCCCCGTCGATGTAAATTAGCATCGCGAATTGCGTTATGCCCAGGAAATTCAGAACATGCGAGATTCGTCAAGGACTTTGTTGATTTTCCGATTGATCATCATAAAAGACAAATACGTAAGAAACTTTATTTGCTTGAAATGAGCCAATTTGTACCCCAAAAAAAAAAAAAAAAAAAAAAAAAACCTCCATGTAATTGTTGGTATAAACAACTTGTGTCGCTTGTTAATCAACTTTTCAAGAGTCCGAATAACAGTTGAATGAATACGTGACTGTATACAGGTAAGTCAGCTTTCTCGGTTTCTCCAAACGCGTTTACGGAAGAGATGTACGTTTTTTCTCTCTCACGAAGCTGCTATTAAATACCGCCTCTTCTCCGTAAGGTTCGACAAGACGTGAATTTCTCTCTATCTCTCGTACACGAGAACGTGCAAGTTAAAGTACACACGTAGGTATAACACCAGGGAAGATGGTGTCTAAAAGTCTTTTCGTGCGAACAAACATCAAGCGGAAGGTTATACTTGTGTTATTATACGCGCGCAGTGTATTCATGAAGGCCGTACAAGCGAGTACACGCAGATACGACGAAATTCGTGCGACGCGAGAGAGAAGCCTCTTGGAAATTTCATGCAAATCCCCGGGCGATTATATATTGTCTCTCCTCTTCGAATAACACACGCCTATGGCTTTTACTTCCCTCGAAAGTGAAATCGTGCTCGTAAATTAATACATCTTCGTTTGCGCGTCCATTGGATTGTACTTTTCTTTTTTTTTTTCTTCTTCCTCCGCACGTTTCGCCATAAATTAGTCACAAGGCGATGGACGCTCTTCATCGTACAAACTAAACAAACGATAAGACTATATAATTATACACGCTGTCGTCGATCAAACAACAAAAAGGGAACTTGCAATACGCTCGAACAACGACTGGATCACGAATATATAATTATACTTCACGATTTGAATGAAATGTTACTCAAGGGTTTTTTTCATTCATTCGCGTACAAGACAAAAGCTCGGATCGGTTGACCGCATCGGTTGGAGGCCAAAGTACAAGGGAGAGCCGGAAGAAGAAGAGCTAAGAACACCCATACCTCTCATATACCTATACCGATACTTCATTGGTTTACCAATCACACCACGGCCATTGTTATCATCACCACCAGCCTGTACAGGTGCACCCCTGCTGGTACTTCCTTTCGGACGCGAGTCGATTTAAACGCGTGTCCTTCTGCACGAGCATGCTCGCTTGTATATATACGTGTCCTATTGTCTATACGCGCGGACGTCGCGTCGGCTCTTACGTTTACGTGCAACGAATCCCAAATCGACGCGGCTAAGTGCTCTTACGTATTCGGACGTCGTTTCGTTACTTCTTCCTCCTATTTTTTTTTTCCACTTTTGCCTCTGACGTTCTGTCACTGCTGGGTTGAACGACTGGAATCTTCTAGAAGTTGGTGGGTTTACTTATACACCTGTCCCAGGCAAAGGCGAGTGGAAGGATGTCCCGACTCGGGTACAATAAATCTCGGGAAGATTTTTTTTTTTCAACCTAAACGAAACTGAAACGAAAGTGAGGATGGGGTAAAAGAAAAAAAAAAAAAAAAAAAATGATTTTCGAAACGATTGTCCGCGCGACTAGAGCCATATCTCCGCGATAATGAACGGTATCTTTTCACCGCCTGTAACAATAACACACGGGCGCGCGAGTGCTTCCAAGAAAAGTCATCACCGCTATAATAGTAGAGTGATTCTCCCGCGCGAGCGACGTGGATACTCGTGAAAAATTGATTTATCAATCGAGTGTGTATGTGTATACACGGTAGTGCTCTGCGATCGGTGTATCGGCCGATAATCATCGGTAGCGCTCGCGTATCGCGCCAAGATGTCATACTCTGATATATAGTTGGGGTTACCTCCTCGGATTATCTGTATATATTTTGACACGCGCGGAGTTGCAGTGTTGTTTCTTCACGCGCGCCGATCTTGCCAAATCGGTAAACCCGATTTCTTTATTTACGAAAAATTCAACGGTTTACTTGTAAAAAAGAAGCTGAAGTCGACATAACTAGACAAGTATAAGTATACATTCATTATTCTTTGGTATAATAAACTAGTAGTGCGAATGTCAAATAAGTCATCGGCCAGTACAAGGAATGACTTTTTCATTGATATAAAGTCACACACTGTAGGGGTGTCCATTTTTTTCGGATGCAGAAAGAAGTATAACGTGGATTTTACCTTCCCCAAGGTGACTTACCGTTGGAGAGAAAATATCGTTATTATTCTCTCTCGTACGTCTCTGCTCGACAACACTCTTCCTCTTCGCCCCTTCACTGGACCTGTCTCAAAAGGGGATTCGCGTCTGGGCAAATGAACACAAAGGCTATGTTGACTTTATCTTACAAATTTATTGAAAATAACCACAACCGCTATCTACAATCACTTCACGTAACTCCTCTCGGTCCCGATGCTATGGCGCAGGCCCTCGATCGCCACCACAACGCCAGTGGTGCGCTCGGAGAGCCACGCTAGTCCGCTCACACACACACACTCACGCGCCTTTACACCCACTTTCCCTCTCACACTACTCTCGGTCTGGAATCAGGCCCCCTCGGCGTGGTAGCCTGTCCGTACCTACACACCCCCACACTCACACTCGGCGTAACCTATAGGTCCCGGGCGTGGATTGCCGTCGCGACCGGAGACGGTCACAAACACGCCGTACTACTCACAGCGTCCCGACGCCGGCTCTCGATCCGTCCCGCCCTTACACCACGACTACGCGACTACTCACTCGCTCTGGGTCTCACGCGCCCTTTTC